AGAATCAGAGGCCTAAAAGAGCACAAAATACAGTAGCGGCTCTCTTAACTAACTTTCTGGATTAACAGACATTCTCCATTCCATCTATTAAATATTCAGACTAGGCCATGTGAACCGAAAGGTTGTGGCCCAGGCACTATTTTTGCCTGTCCCTGCTGTGTGCTTGCCAAGTAAATTGTGCTTCTTCACAAGTTTTTTATACCAATTATTCTTGTTATTAATTAAATATTATAAAAACTAATGAAATCATTATTAGCAGTAGTAATCATTACTTCATTTTATTTTTATGTTGTGTCTATAAAAACTAAGTTGAATGTTTTGGACAAATAAAGGTAAGTTTGATTGATATAGGTAAGTTGCTTAAAAATTTACTACCAATTTAGGTGTGGGATGTCAACTGTAAAAATCTAGAGAATTAATTACAAAAATCGAGGAGTCGGCACTCAGATTATAGCTTCACTTTAGAATATGTATCATTTTTATGATTCACCTCTTTAACCAACTTTCTCAGCTAACCAACCCAAGTAAGAGTTCTTCTATTATATGGCATTATTGTTCTGGGAACAATTTTGGTCACTCACATGGAATTGTTTTTCTGGTAGTCAATGGTTTTCAGTATTTTTACTCAAAATGAAAAAAACAGTCCTCTCTTCCCATGACTATATTTCATCAAATCCAAGACATCATCAATCATAAGATTCACCATTTTTTTCTTCCTTCTGATATTATATAGAATAGACTGTCAATTGACCAGTGTGCCATCACCTAAAAGACATATCCCAATTTCAAAGGTGTTGGAATTAAAACTATGCATCTTAGAAGATGAAAAACAATTTGAAAACAATCATGTTCACTGTAAAAGAAGTTTAAATACAGAAAAGTAAAACCTCACTCAAAATTCTACTATTTGGAAAAAACACACAGTTAAATATCTATTTACACATATAGAAATAAATAACTATGAATAATTCTAAAGGGATCATACTAAACATGCTGTTTATACCCTGTGTTTTAGATTTTTTTTATATTATATCAGTTTTTTGATATTGTAAAGAGTATTGTGATGATCTCCCTTGTGTACACATTTTTGCATATTTATCCAATATGTAATCTGTCTTTAAATGTTAAAAATAAATCAACCAAATCCTTTGTTAGGAAAAAAAAATAGGATTAGGACATAGAAATAGAAAATGACTTGATTTCTAACCCTGGAAAATAATATCATCGTATCAGCAGTATATACACTAAAATAATCAGAGATGAAAGAGGTTTTAGCTCTTTTTCATGGTGCCTTGGAGGCTTTAGGATGAAGCTGAACATCTCTTTCCCAGCCATTGGCTGCCAGAAGTTCATTGAAGTGGATGATGAATGAAAACTTTGTACCTTTTATAAGAAGCATACAGCCACAGAAGTTGCTGCTGATGATCTGGGTGAAGAATGGAAGAGTTATGTGGTTCGAATCAGTGGTGGAAACAACAAACGAGGTTTCCCCATGAAGCAGGGTGTCTGCCTACTACTGAGTAAGGGGCATT